TTACGAGTCTTTTGGAATTGTCTTGGATCATCGTATTGCTGAGAAGATTTACATCTATCATAGTTGATCATTGTACAATGTTGCTGTTACTGTGTACAATATTCTCCTGCTTCTGCTCACTTCACTCAGCATCAGTTCATATAAGTCTTTCCAGGTTTTTCTGAAATCTGCGTGCTCATCATTTCTTATAGCACAATAGTATTCCATTACATTCATATACCACAACTTGTTCAGCCATTCCCCAGTTGATGGGCATCCCCTAAATTTCCAATTCTTGACTACGACGAAAAGAGCTGCTATAAATATTTTTGTACATGTGGGTCCTTTTCTTTAATATGTTTTTTCTAAGCCACTATAGGCAGCTAGTATAGTGCCAAACCTACAGTCAGGAAGACCTGAATTCAAATCCTGCCTCAAACACTTGCTAGCTATATGACCCTGGGGAAATCACTTAACCACCATCTGCCTCAGTCTCCTCATCTGCAAAATGGGAATAGTAATAGCACATTTGAAGATCAAATGAAATATTTGTAAAGCACTTAACAAACCTTAAAGTTTTAGTAACAGTAAGAGTAGTAGGAATGCTAACATTTTCCAGCCTTATCTCATAATATTAGTGTAATATTATGAGATAATATTGATATATAAAATTATCTCATAATTTCCTCCATATACTTGCTGATCCGGCCACACAGGACCCCACTCTGTTCCTTCAAAAAACTTGTGCTCCCCACTTCCTGTGCCTTTGTTGATTCTATGCCTGAGATGTTGTCCCTTCTTCTCTTGGCCAATTGAATTCCCAGCCCTAGTCTAAGGCCCATCCCAAATGCCACTTCCTCCAGGATTCCTTCCCTGTCTCCTTTAGTCAGTAAAGACTTTCTCAGGCCTCACAGAGGATTTTATTTTCCATCTTTATAAACACGCTTATCAAGTAACATTTCATACTCACCATTACCTGTGCTTATGCCTCATCCCTCCATTAGATTATAAAGCTCTATAAAGGCAGGGACCAGTTTTCAGGGATGTTTTCTCTCTCCCCTTGGGACCCTCAAAGAATAGTGTTCTGCACACAGAGCCCTTTAATAACTGAATGAATGAAAAAATGACAAAGCAAAAAAAAATGTAGTTTATTTTAGAATTAAAAAACCATAAAATGCTTCATTTTTACAAAGATAATGCAAAAAAACTATGGTTTACAAATTCTTTAAGTAAGTTCTTATACAAATAAGGTTTTTAAGTGATTTAGTTTGAGATGTTAAGCTTTTAACAAAAATTTCACTTCTGTACTATTTGGCAAAGTCATACAAAGCATAATATAATAGACCAAAAAGTCTTTGGTTAGTAATAATGTAAACTCAAGTATAAATTAAGTAAGGAAATTAAAAACACACAGAAATATCAACATGGGGCAATAGTCAGATATACTTTTCAAAGTGCAATCTAATCCACATAATTTACTTCTCCTAAGATCTGTAGGATAACTTCCCTAACTCACTGTCTCTTCTTGTCCAGACCACAGATTGCCCCAACAGTCAGCTCTCAAAGAGGCTTACCAGTGTAGATTGGGAGCTCTTTTATAGCTGGGTCACAGGGCTAGCAATATGTGTCAGAAGAGGGACCCAGGGCTTCCTACTTCCTTAGGGGCTCTTTATCCACTGTGCCACACAACCTCAAAAGTCTTTTATCGTAATAATTTTTCAGTTTTAAACAAAAGATTCAAATCTGAATTATCCTATGTGGCCAATATCTTGAACTAATAGAAGGAAGAAGGGTAGCTAAGCCAAAACCCAATTATACTCCAGTCTGGAATGCATTACTTCCATCTCCCCTCAATAGATTTATTTTCCTATCAACATTTTTATTAAGCTGGCATTACTTTCCATTTTATAAAGCAAGAATCAATTAACAGTAAGAGAAGGCAGTATAGTATGTATGCTGGACGATGGGAATGACTGGATAAACTCAATTGGGATTAAAAAGATAACAGAAAACCCAATGGTGAATAAGAGGAATCTAAGTATTTTGACTCCAAGGAGGTAGGGCTCTGAAGCCTGTCTTATTGCTGTCCAGTTTTAATGTACTGAAGCCTTGATCATTCAGGGCTTTTTCTGTCTTTGTATATCTCAGGACAGCCAATGCATTTTTGCCTTTTTCTTCGTAGTTCTCAAACAGTAACAATAGCTAAGGACTCTCTGTCTCCCAGGAGGAATCCTGGGAATAAAGAATCCTGTTTCTCTGCTGGAGAGACAGAATATTCTAGGTGCATAGGGGCCATGGTTTGATCCCTCTGGAGGTTAAAATCCTGTGCCTTACTTGTTTACTTAACCTCCTGAAGTGGTGTTTTGCAACTCTCTAATGACCGTAGCTTGCAACATCATGTAATAGTCCCCTATGTTTGTGTCTTATATTGCTACTAGTCTGTAATCTCCATGAGGGCAGGGATCCCATCTTAGCTGAAGCTCACTTTATTTACAATGTGTGGCATATGATGCACAACTGAGTCCAGTATGCAAATTAAATACAAAAACAGCTCTAAGCAATTCAAATAAATTACATCCATTCGGAGTTATGGCATTTTCAAACAATACAAAGGTCAATCAACATAACACTTTCCTTTAAGTAAAGTTAGAAAACCCAATGGCACATGCCCCAAGTAGGACCCTTGCCCTCTCCAGGCTTAATATTTTCCCCATTTATACTACTCTAGTATCATGCATAGAATAAAAGCTTCAGAAAGGTTTTGAAGGCATGAATATAAAATATGGATCTGTAGAAGTACGAACAAGTTCTATTTCAAATCTATTGGTTCATCAGTTAATTAATTAATTAATTAATCCTCACTAGGCCTACATCAGCACTTACCATCTTACTTCATTGCTACATTCTAAAGACTGTAAGACCTTTCCATCTGACTTGTAGCTGAAAGCTTCCATATTGGTTGTCTCTCTCATTAGCACATGAGCTTCTCAGCTCACTTTGTGGTGGCAAAGAAGTGGAAATTGAGGGGACGTCTATAAATTGTGAATGGCTGAATAAGTTGTGGTATATGACCATGATGGAATACTATTCTGCTGTAAGAAATGATGAGAAGGATGCTCTCAGAAAAACCTGAAAAGACTAACATAAACTGATGCAACATGAAATGAGCGGAACCAGGAGATCATAGTACACAGAAACAGCCATAATGTACGATGATCAACTGTGAATGACTTAGCTATTCTCCACAATACAAGGATCTAGGACAATTCCAAAGGATTTATGATGAAAAATGCTATCCACCTTCAGAAAAAGAACTAATGAAGTCTGAATACAAATTGAAGCATACTTTTTTACTTTCTTTTTTTTCTTATTGCTATTAGGGTTTATTTTGGCCTGTGTTTTTTTTCACAACATGGCTAATACAGAAATATGTTTTGCGCGACTGCACCTGTATATTCGACATCAAATTGTTTACCTTCTCAAGGATGGGGGAGAAGAGGGAAGGAAAGAATTTGGAACTCAAAATTAAAAAAAAAGAATGTTAAAAATTGTTTGTACATGTAATTGGAAATAATAAAATAGAAAAACAAATTAAAAAAAGAATGTGAGCTTCTTGAGAGCAGGGGCTGTCTTATTTCTCTAAGTGTCTCTTAGCACTTAGCACAATGTTTTGTGCGTAGTAAGCACTTAATACTTATTCTTTCATTCACTCATATATTTGTAATGGAAAAGGGAAAACCATACTCAGTCTTTTTTTTTAGTGAAGTGTACAATATTCTCCAAAAACCTTTTTTTTCCCCCTCCACAATGAAAAAGAAGAATTTCACTCAAAGGATTTTGCCTATACCTGGACTGGTAGACTGGAATGAAACAGTAGCTTTTCCCAAATAGTTGCATTGAAAGAAAAAAAATTGGCCATTTTGCTCAGTTCAACAAAGAATGTTAAATACAGATTAGTCCCTCTTGCTCAGAGGTTCTTAATCTTCTGGTGTGATGGACCCCTTTGGCAGCCTGGTGAAGCCTATAGACCCCTTCTTAGGAGAATAATTTTAAGTACCTAAAATAAAATACATAGGCTTACAAAGGCTAGAAAAAATAAAAATGTAGTTTTTTCCCATCTAAATTCATAGACCCTGGGTTAAGCATCCGTGCTGTAGGTTCCTTTAAAACATGACTTTTTTTTTTTTTAAACCAATTGCCAGGCAGGCAAGATGGGCATGCTTTTGTTGTTGTTTTGTTTCTGGCCTATGAAGGTATTCTCTTTTTTTTTTTTTTTTTTTCTTTTGGTTTTGTAATAGGGGTTAAGTGATTTGCCCGGGGTCACAAAGCTAGTGTCATGTGTCTGAGGCCAGATTTGAACTCAGCTCCTCCAAGGCTGGAGATCTATCCATTGCGCCACCTAGCTGCCCCTATGAAGGTATTCTAAGGAAAAGGTTGAATGCATTGAAAAGAATGAAAGAGAAAAGGCAAATGGTACGAGCACGGTGAGATCTGAAACCAGAACCATTCCCTGGTGAATCTTTATTCTCTTCTGGGCAATACCACAAGAGGAAAGCCAACTGAAACACTGCAGCCAGTAAATGTGCAGGAAGCAAAGCTCCATCATCATCACAAGCAAAACCCGGAAAGGAAGGAATTCTGTGACATAAACACAGCTTGTTTCTTTAGCCGTGCTCATCACTCATGCATGCACTGAATATTCAGAGGTAGTTACATAGATTTAAACTATGGCTTTAAGATATATTGTAAAAGTTAAATCTTGAATTTTTCTCCTCAACATGGGTATGTATGCTTCTCCCAATGCCCACAAAAAAAAAAAGAAAAAAAAAGCTAAGTCTTAAGATCTAGCCCAATGTAGTTCCAAGTTTTCAAGTCCCAACTGAAATTACTTCTACACCCCAAAGCAGTAGTTTTTAAAGTATGATCTGGGGACACTTTCAGGGCATTTATGAGGTCAAAACTGTTTTCATAAATAATACTAAGATATTTTAATCTCTAATATGGTAAATATCGATATAAACAAAAGCTCTTTGAATCCTCAATCATTTTTAAGAGTGTAAAAGGGGTCCTAAGACCAAAAAGTTTGAGAACTGCTGTTTTAAACTATTCAGATTTGGATAAAGCTTCCATATTTTGTCACCTGTCATAACCAACCAATAGTCAAATCAGTCCATCTTCGACTCTCACTCTCAGAAAGCTCACTGTGCTTTCCTAAAAGTTCATTTCAACAAGGACAACAAATTCTTAATCTTCATACCTTAGAAATTGTTATTCCCATTTTACATATGGGGAAACTGAGGCACAAGGAGGTGAAAGAATTGACTTATTAGTCTTGAACAGGATTAAAATCTATGTTTTCTGTTTCCCAGTTCAGAACCTTGGCCATTATTTACTTAAGTAAATTTACAAATACAAGTGCCTGAACTGATGATGAGGTCACAGAATGCTTGGGGTATTTCTGTTAGGATTCAGGTGTTTTCTGTGAGAGGCGAGTTTCCACTCTTGCCTTTTCCCTTTTCCATTTTCACCTAACCTGGACCTGGAACCAGAAATTTTTAAGTCTCAGAATGGTTGCTTGTAACTGTAGAAGGAAAAACCAGTATTTCAGAAGAAGGTCATTTTTCAATTGACTTTCTGTTCCACCACCTCTTCTTGGGTTTTTTCTTCATCTTTTAGAAACAATCACATTAAATGGATGTGGTGATAAAGTCAAGCCAAATCTTCCGGTCATGATAGGCTTCTTGGAGTCCTTAGGTAAAGTAAAGGTGAAGGTCTGCATAAGGCTTACAAACATCAGGAATAATTCCATTTTTGCCAATTGCTCTCCCATACATACACGCTTTCCTAAAGAGGAGATTGAAAACAAATGAGTAAAATCACCTTCCCCTAATAGCATCAATCTGATTGACATGAAATTCTCATGGAGATTGGGTCTCTCCATCTCACCCAGGCTACCAGGGCTTCAGCTGTACATGAGTCTGAGCCCAGTACTGACCATCTTGGGAGCTTTAACTGTACTGGTTTTCTGATCTGGCCTGCTTTGTCCTCATTAGCAGCCTGGTCCGGGAGGATCACCATATTAGTGCTAGACTGAGTGTAGCAGAATCCGACAGGCTTTAACCTTCCTGTAGTTTAGAACCCCTGAGACCAAGGTCAACCTCCCCAGCAGCAGGCATTGATGCATGCCCTCCCACCCCACATGGAACTAGGTTGAATACAGCTCATTTTTGGGTACTGATACAGGCAGAGCTCTGCAGTAGAAACATATACAGGGATATCTTCATCTATGACTATGTCTATATATATATATATCTTTATCTACATATCTATCTCTCCATATCAACATCTATATTTGAACCCATATCTATCTATATTCATATCCTATCTATGTGGACTTTTTATTTTTTAAAAATATTTCCCAATTATGTTTAATTACATATTCCCTATTACATCCATTAGTGGATAAAAGGCCACTTTTGTTGTTTTTCAGTCCTGTCCAACTCTTCATGACCCCATTTGGGGTTTTCTTGGCAGAGGTACTGGAGTGGTTTGTCATTTTCTTCTCCAAAAGTCCACTAGATATGGATTTAATATAGATATCTATGGCTGTGGATATAGATATAGACCTGGACCTGTGATTTCTATAGTTCAGGGAACTCACAGATGAGGAAGCTCTACCAATGTAGTTCAGTACCTTTTAGGCCACTTAAAATTTTGGAGAGTTAGGGCAGCTAGGTGGTACAGTGGACAGAGTACCAGCCCTAAAATCAGGAGGACCTGAGTTCAAATCTGGCCTCAGACCAAACGCTTGACACTTATTAGCTGTGTGACCCTGGGCAAGTCACTTAACCCCAATTGCCCAAAAAAAAAAAATTTTGGAGAGCTCCTAAGAGCAGTGGATCCCTGTGGAAGCATATTGATTTAGAAAACTACAAATTAACAATATCTACGTTGTATTTTTGTTTATTTGGAAAACATTTTCCAATTACATTTTAATCTGGTTCCCAAGGTACTTGGAATGTTGGTCTGGTAGCATGTTTGACACTTCTGACTTAGAACATGGAAAGACTAGGATATGCCCTGAGTCACATAGTTAGTATGTATGAGAAATTTGGTTTCAAAGTCAGCTTCCTATATACTATGACATACTGCCTCTATGTAGCTATGTATTAATAAAAATAATATTGCAGGGGAATGCCTTTACCCTTTAAGAGGCTGATTCATCTGCCACAATATTTGGAGACTCAATTATCTATGGCAATCATGGGGTGGGCAGAGTTGAGAAAAATTACTGGATTGACAATCAGTGTTAGGTGGCACAGGGCAATTAGGTGGTGCAGTGAATAGAGCGCTAGGCCTAGAGTCAGGAAGACGTGAATTCAAAACATTTACTGGCTGTGTGACCCTGGGCAAGTCACTTAACCCCATTTGCTCAGTTTCCTCATCTGTAAAATGAACTGGAGAAGGAAATGGTGACCTATTCCAGTATCTTTGCCAAGAAAACCCCCAAAAAAGGGGTCATGAAGAGTAGGACACACTGAAAACAACTAAACAAAGTTCCTGAGTTTAAATTTTCCTGCCATGTTGACATTTGAGCAGTTGACTTAATCTTTCTGATGGCCTTCAGTTACCTCACCTGTAAAATTAAAGGAGCAAGGTTGAATGATCCCTTAGCTTCCTTCCAGATCTAAACCCAATGATCCCATTTGGTATGAATTTATCTCTACTGCCCAGCTAGATTTTGGGGGAGCATCAGAAAAGCTAGCCCAGAAATAAGCAAGGATTATGCATAAAAAAAATGTGAGTTATGAGAAAGCTGATGTCACAAAATTGACCTGGCATGAGAAATGGTTTCAAGGATGTATTTGCTCTGTAGAATTTAGGGTACTGATCCCCAGAATGTGACAAAAAATCAAAGCAGGGTCAGAGAACAAAACTCAGCATAAATGAGATCATCTTTGTAGAATGCTCAGTACAATACCTGGCATAGAAGTAGAGGCTTAATAAACACAGGTTCTTTTTGCCTTCCTTCCCACTATATTAGGCTACCTCTACTGTGTTCCCCATATTCTTTTTTTTCTGTTTTGGGACCAGTTTTTTTTTTATTTTATTGGTGTATAGCAGAGGTGTGAAACAAGGAGCCTGGAGAGCTACCTTAACCAGGTTAAGATGTAATTGGGAAATAGTCAACAAAATTAATTTAAAAAAATACAATAAGACATAGATAATCTTACTTTGTGGTTTTCTAAGTCAATATGCAGATGGCAGGGATCCTTCAGTAAAGCTTAGTGACCAACATTTGGGTTGGACACTACTGATATAGAGAATGATCTTGAGGAAATTCCTTTGACCAGGGCAGAAGATTAGCACTGCTCTGTAATGAATGGTCTTAAGAGGGTCACCTGGGGCACCGAGAAGTTTCAGTGACTTGCCCAGGGTCACACAACTGGTATGTATTAGAGGCAGGACTTAAACCCCTTCCTGACTGAGGTTAGCTTTTTATCCACTCCCTACACTTCCCTCAACTTTTATTAGGGAGAATAAAGGCAAGCATATTTTGAAAGCAATTTTTTTGGGGTGAAGCAATTGGGGTTAAGTGACTTGCCTATAGTCATAAGGTAGTAAGTGTTATGTGTCTGAGGCTGGATTTGAACTGAGGACCTCCTGATTCCTGAGCCGGTGCTCTATCCACTATGCCACCTAGCTGCCCTGTGAAACTGGAGAGATCATAATTTCTCCAATTTAAGACCTTTAGAAGAATAGAGACAGGCAGAAATCAAGTCTTCCAAAAAGCAACTCTGGCAGAAAACCAGTGGCTGGCTCTAATCCAAGCAGTAGTCTGTGTTTGAGGAACACCATTGGGGCAGCTTTGGACATTATTTCTGGTAGCAGAATTGGGGCAGCTAGTTGGCATGGTCATTTACTAGACTTCAAAGAAGACTTGAACTTGAATCCTGCCTCATACATTCGCCAGTTGTGTGACTCTGGGCAAGTCATTTGATTACTCTAAGCCTCAATTTTCTCACCTGTAAAATGGGGATAATAGTGGCGCCTACCTCATAGGTTTGTTATAAGGATGAAATGAGATGATAAATGTAAAACACTTTGAAAGCCTTAAAGTGCTGTATAAATGTTAGTTTTTATTATCAGTAATAGTCTCCAAGTTGAAAATCCACGAAGACAGGTTTGTTTATAAAAGTCAGGATTGAACAAAGTAGAGAAGCATTATCTAAATTACCCATCTTGTGCCAACTTGTAGCTTGTCAACATTATGGGAACAAAAGGGTATCTGTGTTTTATTTTGTTGTTTTTTCTTTACCATCTTGACATGAAATGATTAAAGGCCCTTTGGTCCCAACTCCCTTTTGAAAAAAAGTCAATTTTCCATGATAGAACTTACCAATCCCAAAAGGAATAAAGTATTCCTTTTTGATAAGTTTTCCTTCTTTATCCAGAAATCGCTCAGGACAGAAGTTGTCGGGTTGCTCCCATATGGAAGGATCTCTGTGTACTGACCACAGGTTGGCTACAATCAGAGTGCCCTTAGGGATGATGTACCCTTGGAGAACTGAAAAACACAAACACACACACACACACACACGCACACATACACCAGCCATGCCATGGTCAGCCCATCAGTCCTTAAACATCTCCAAATTTCTTAGAATAATCTACTTAGTTTCTTAACCTGGTTCTATTTGCCAAAATTAGGCCCATCAATTCCAATGAAACTTAAGAAAAATGCAAGAGCTCTGCTTGCTTATGTAAGGCATTACAAGTAAATAGCCTTTTCCCTAGGTATATACATTAGGAAAAAGAAAAATCTGGGGGAACGAGAGTAGGTGCCTATCAGGAGGTAAGAAACAATCTCCATATACCGAATTAAATAGTGTCTCAGAGGTACCACCTCACACCTTTCAGAAATGACAAATGCTAGAGGGGATGTGGGAAAATTGAGACACTAATGAAATGGTGGTGGAGTTGTCAACTGATCTATTTCTGGAAAACAATTTGTAGCTATAGGGCATATAAAGGCTATAAGACTGTGCCTATAAAACTGGGCTATAAAACCTTTGACCCATCAGTACCCCTATTAGGTCGGTGCCCCAAAGAGAACAAAGAAAAAGGAAAAGGACCTACATGTACAAAAATATTTATAACATCTTTTTGTGATGGCAAAGAATTTGGAAATAAAGGGAATACCCATCAATTGGAGAATGACTAAATGAGTTGTGGTATATAACTGTGATGGAACATTTTTGTGCTGTAAGCAGTGAGGAGGAGGATGATTTCAGAAAAGCCTGGGAAGACTCATATGAACTGATACAGAGTGAAGTGAGCAGAACTAGAACAACATTGTATACAGCAATATTGTAACTATGATGAACTGTGAAAGACTTACCTACTTTGATCAATACAATGATCCAAGACAATTCCAAAGTACTCATGATGAAAAATGCTATCCACCTCCAGAGAGAGCGCTGAAGAACTCTGAGTGCAAACTGAAGTAAAATTTTCTCACTTTTTAAAAATTTTTCTTGTTTTTTTTGTGAAAGGGTAAATATGGAAATATGTTTTGCATAATCTCACATGTACAATTGATATCATATTCTTGCCTTTTCAGTAGGTGGTGAAGGAGTTGGAGGGAGGGAAGAATTCAAATTTTTTAAAAGAATGCTTAAAATGCTTGAAATAAATAAATAAAGACAATGCTTAAAAATAAATGAATAATTTTTGGGAAGTGGAGAAATAAAAAAATAAATTGTGCCTCAAAGTTACTACAGCCCCTAACGTAGACTCTGGAAATGATTTATTCATCCAGTAACATTCATATATTTAAAACAACTAACATTTAGATAGCATTTTAAGGTTTGCAAAATGTTTTACAAATATCTCATTTTATCCTCACAATGACTCTAGGAGGCAAATGTTATTATTATCTCTATTTTACAGAACAGGAAACTGAGGCTGAGAGAGGTTAAGTGATTTGCCCAGGGTCACACAGCTAGTAAGTGTCTGAGGCTACATTTGAACTTAGGTCTTCTTGATTCTAGGTCCACTGACCTATCCACTGTGCTACTTAGCTAGCTGTCACTCAAACAATTTTCTAAACTAGAGAAGCTCAGTATTGGAGTGGAAAAGCCTCAAAATCACAGGATGACAGATTTAGAACTAGAAAGGACAGAGTTGTTTTAGTCCAACCCCTTCATTTTACGGATAAGGAAACCAACACCATAGAGGGTAAATGACTTACCCAAGGTCACGTGGTGGGTAAGTGGAACGGGTAATATTTGAACCGAGTTCCTTTGACTCCAGATTTAGCCTTCCTCTCATTGTGTTAGGTATTGAGGTTCCCTGTCACTGGAGCAATTAATCAGTCAATTAATCAACGGTCACTTATTAAGTGCTGAGTGTATACTGGGAATTGTGCTAAGTGCTGGTTATACGTAGAAAGGCAAAAAAAAAAAAAAAAGGGTCCTGCCCTCAAGAAGCTTTCGTTCTAATAGAGGGGACAAGATAACTTTAAAGGAGAAGATTCTAGCCATTGAGGGATCTGAGAAAAGTCTCCTGCAGAAAGTGGCATTTGATATGAATTTGAACATTTATTAGGGATGATGTAAGGGGAATTTATACACTCTGTGAAAACTTGGATAAGATGACTATTAAGGTTCCTTAGGTACTTAAGATTCAATAATAGGCTACAGCTGTGTTTCCCAGAAATTAAAATGATATATAAAGGGAGGTTTCATATTCTAACTATGAAAATGTGTTCTAAAATTGAAGCCTGAACTAGGAGTTAGCACTCATGACTAGGGTGGCTGGACTAGGTCCCCTGGTGCCAAATTTTTCCAGAAATGCAAAACTCAAGGGTCATAGATAGATAGGATCATAGATCTGGAATGAGCTAGGTGGTACAGTACATAAAAGGTTGGACTTGGAATCAGGAAATCCTGAGTTCAAATATGGCCTCAGACACTCACTAACTGCATTAGTAGGCAAATCACTGAACCTCTGTCTGCCTTGATTTCCTCCTTTGTAAATGGGGATAATAATAGTATCTGCCTCATAGGGTGATGTGAAGAAAAAATAAGACAATATTTATAAAGTACTTTGTAAATCCCAAAGTGTGATATAAATATTAGTTTTTATTATTAGTAGAGGCAGAAAGGACTTTTTATTATTATAACAATTATGTTATACGTTATTATAAATATTATTAGAGCTGGTAGGGACCTTAGAAGTCAATTAGTCCATACCCCTCATTTATTTTATTTATTCATTTTTATTTAGTTTATTTTTAATTTATGGAATAAAACAAGCATTTCCATAACATTGTGTAATAAAAAAGATCACTGCCCATGAAATTGCAAATCTATTGTGTACAATTATGTATGTATTGCGATTTCTGTTAAATATATAATAAAATTATCACGTAAATTTTTTTTCTTTTTCCTTCCCTCCCCCACTCTAGAGATGGCTTCCATTAGACACAAATATTCATGTCTGTATATGTATGAATGTATGTATGTATGTGTGTGTGTCTGTATGTATATATATGTAAAATCATATATACATATGATAATTCTAGTTAACAGTTCTTTTGATGCAGATAGATTCACATATCCTTTGTAGTTAATTTGGGTAATGTAATAGTCAAAATGACTTATTTACTCAAAGTTGTTCTTAAACCAATATTGCTGTTACTGTATACAACATTCTCTTGGTTCAGCTTATTTTACTCTTCAGTATTTCATGCAAGGCTATCCTTGTATTTCTAAGATCATCGAACTCATTCTTTCTTTTTTTTTAGATCATTATTTCTTATAGTACTCCATCACAATCATATACCACAACTTGTTCAGCCATTCTCCAAATGACAGGCATATCCACAATTTCCAGTTCTTTGCCACTACAAAGAGAGCTGCTATAAATATTTTAGAACATATAGGTTCTTTTCCTTTTTCCCTAATCATCTTTGGAAATAGACCTACTAATAGTATTACTGGGTCAAAGGGTATAGGAGTTTAATGAACTTTTGGGCATAATTCTAGATTACTCGCCAAAATGGTTTGATCATTTCACAATTCCGTCAATGATAAATTAGTTTCCCAATGTTTCCATATCCCCTCCAACATTTGTTGCTTTCCCCTTCAATCATTTTAGCCAGTCTGGAGAGGTGTAAAATGATATCTCAAGGTTGTTTTAATTTGCATTTCTCTAATCAATAATGATTTAGAACATTTTTTTCAGATGACTTTAAATTATTTTGATTTCTTCATCAGAAAACTGCCTGTTCATATCTGTTGAGCATTTGTCAATTGGAGAATGACTAGTATTCTTAAAGATATGAAAAAGTTCTTTATATATTTGAGATATGAGATCTTTATCTGAGAAACTGTCTATAAAATTGCCCCTTGCTCCCTAATTTTCTGCTTTCCTTCTGATCTTGGTTACATTTATTTGTACAAAAACTTTTTTAACTTAATGTAATCTAAATTATCCATTTTACAACTTACTCTGTTCTCGATATCTTATTTATTCATAAATTGTTCACATATCCATAAGTCTGATAAATAGTATGTTCTGTGTTCTTCAAATTTTCTTAAAATTTCTCTCTTTATATCCAGGCAATGCACTCATTTTGACCTTGTCTTGGCAAATGGTGTAAGATATTGGTCTATGCCCAATGTCTGCCATACTGCCTTCCATTTTTTCTGAGCAATTTTTTTTTTACCAAATAATGAATTCTTATCCCAAAATCTTAAGTCTTTACATTTGCCAAATACAAGGTTATTATATTTATTTGCCGCTATAAATTTTATGTCTACTATGTTCCACTGATCTATTTCTTAGCTAGTACCAGATAGTTTTGATAATTACTGCCCTATAATGTAGTCTAGTCAAGTACTGCTAAACCTCTTTACATTATTTTATTTCCTTTGATATCCTTGACTTTTTGTTCTTCCAAATGAATTTTTTTTCTAATTTTGTAAAATTTTTCTAATTCTGTAAAATAATTTTTGGTAATTTAATTGAGATGGCATTGAATATATCAATTAATTTGGGTAAAATTGTCATTTCTATTTATTGGCTCTGCCTGCTCATTAACAATTAATATTTCTCCAATTATTTAAATCTGATTTAATTTGTATAAATAGTTTTTTTATATTTCATGACTTTTATACTTCATACACCTGCTTTGGCAGGTGTACTTCCATGTATTTTATACTGTCTAGAGTTATTTTAAATGGGATATCTCTTAGTATCTCTTCTTACAGGGTTTTGTTTGTGATATATAGGAATGCTCATGATTTATGTGAATTTACTTTATATCCTGCTACTTTGCTAAAATTATTAATTGCTTCAACTAACTTTTTGGTTGAATCTTTGAGATTTTTCAAGCACATCATTATATCATTGGCAAAAAGAGATAGTTTTATTACTTCATTCCCTTTACTGATTCCTTCTATTTCTTCTTCTTTTATTGCTATTGCTATGATTTCCAATATAATATTGAATAATTTTGATGAGAGTGGGCATCCTTGTTTCACACTTGATGTTATTGGGAAGGCTTCTAGCTTATTCTCATTACAAATAATGTTTGCTGATGGTTTTAGATAAATGCTTTTTATCAATTTAAGGAAAAATATATTTATATCTATACTTTCAAGTGTTTTTAATAGAAATAAGTGTTGTAATTTATCAAAAGAATTTTCTGCATCTGTTGATATAATCCTATATATTTTAAACTTTTATTATTGATATAATCAATTATGTTAATAATTTTTCTTGTGTTAAACTATTTCTGCATTCCTGGTATAAATCCCACTTGGTCATAATGTACAATCTTTGTAATATATTCTTGTGATCTTTAAGCTAGTGTTTTTATTTAGGATTTTTGCATCCATATTCATTCATTAATGACATTGGTCTAAAATTTTTTTCTCTGTTTTTACACTTCCTAATTTAGGTATCGTATCATATTTGTTTCATAAAAGTAGTTTGGTAGGATCTATTCTTTGCCTGTTATTCCAAATAATGTATTTAATGTTGGAATTGTTGATCTTTAAATGTTTGATAAAATTCACTTGTAAATCCATCTTGTCCTAGTGTTTTTTTTCTTAGGAAGCTCATTTATGGCTTGTTCAATTTCTTTTTCTAAAATAGTTCTATTTAGATATTCTATTTCTTCTGCTAATCTAGGCAATTTATATTTTTGTGAATATTCTTCCATTTCACTTAAATTGTTAAACTTGGCATATAATTGGGCAAAATAACTCCTTATAACTGCTTTAATTGCATCTTCATTAGTGGTGTATTCACCCTTTTCATTTTTAATACTAGTGATTTAGTTTTCTTTTCTTTTTAAATAAAATAAACGAATGGTTTATCTACCTTATTGTTTTTTTCATAAAACCAAGTTTTATTTATTAATTCAATGGTTTTTTACACTCAATTTTATTAATCTCACATTTAATTTTTTGGATTTCAAATTTAATGTTTAATTGGGGATTTTTATTTTGTTTTTTTTTTCAGTTTTTTAAATTGCATGCCCAATTCATTGGTCTGTTTCTCTATTTTGTTCATGAAAACATTTAGAGATTGAAATTTTCCTCTGGTCACTGCTTTTGCTGTATCCCATGTATATTTTAATATGTTGTGCCATTATTGTCATTCTCTTCAATGAAATTATTGTTTCTACGATTTGTTCTTTAACCTACTCATTCTTTAAGATTAGGTTGTTTAGCCTCCAATTAGTTTTTTCCCCTCTTTGGCTAGGCAATGGGGTTATATGACTTGCCCAGGGTCACACAGTTAGTAAGTGTTAAATGTCTGAGGCTGGATTTGAACTCAGATCCTCCTGACTCCAGGGCCAGTGCTCTTTCCACTGTGCCATCTAGCTGCCCCTGTCCAATCAGTTTTTAATCTACATTTAATCTACATTTCTTATGAAATATAATTTTATTGCATTGTGATCTGAAAAGGATACTTCTATTTTTACTTTTCTGCTTTTAACAATAAAATTTTTATGTACTAATATGTAGTCAGTCTTTGTAAAGTTACCATGAACAACTAAGAAAAAAGTGTATTCCTTTCTATTTCTATTTAATTCTCTCCAGATATCTATCATATTTAGCTTATCTAAAATTCTATTCACTTCCTTGACTTCTTTTTTTATTTATTTTTTGGTTAGATTTATCTAGTTCTGAGAAAGGAAGATTAAAGTCACTCACTATCTACTATCTATCCACCTGTTATTCATTGAACTTTTCTTTTAAACATTTAGATACTGTAATATTTAGTGCATATAGGTTCAGTTTTGATATTGCTTCATTGTCTATGGTACCTTTTATCAAAATGTAGCTACTCTGTTTATTTCTTTTAATTAAATCTATTGTAGCCATAACTTTGTCTGAGAACATAATTGCTACCCCTGCCTTTTTTGCATCAGCTGAAGCATAACAAATTCTACTCCAGTTCTCCATTTTAACTGTATGTATCTCTCATTCTTCAATATGTAAACAACATATTTTTGGATTCTGATTTTTAATCCATTCTGCTATCCATTTCCGTTTAATGGGTGAGTTCATCCCATTCACGTTCAAAGTTATAATTACTATTTGTGAATTTCCTTCCATCTTATTTTCATCACTATCGTCCTTCTCTTTTTACCTTGTCCCTGTTATTTTCTCCCCTTATCCTCCTATTCCTTATTCTACTCACCCTTCTAAGACTCCCTCCTTTATCCTCTCCCCCACCTTCCTAAATCTTAATTTACCCACCCTTCTAAAAGTACTTCCCTCACCTTGTCCCCCAGTTCTCTCACCTCTCTAACAAGTCCAGAACGCTTCTACACCCTTCTAAATGTATATGTTGTTTCCTTTTCAACCCAGATCTGATGAGAGTAAGGTTCCAACGTTACCAGCCCTCCACTTCCACCTGCTTCCTCTGTTTCAGTTCTTCCTTTAACATCCTATTTTTATGAGATAATTGCTCCTTTTTACCTTTTTCTACACAATTTTGTTTTTTAGAATCACCCTATCATAAACAACTCAGCCCCAATCTTTCTTTCAAACTACCCTAGTAATGATGACAGTTTTAAGAATACTGATAACATTTTCACATATATAAATAACTAAACAGTTTGACCTTAATAAGTCCCTTTTCTTATGGACCTTTTATATCAAATTTTCCATTGAGTTCTGGTCTTTTTATTACAAATACCTGAAAGTCTTTCAGTTTGTCAAATGTCCATTTTTTTTCTTCATTCAGGATTATACTCAACTTTGCTGGGTAAGCCCCCAGCTCTTTTGCTCTTTGAAATACAATGTTCCAAGATCTATGGTCTTTTAGAGTAGAAGCTGCTAGGTCCTGTGAAAACCTGACTGTAGCTCCATCATATTTAAATGGCTTTTTTTTTCTTGTTGCTTGCAATATTTTCTCCCGAACCTGGGAGTTGTGAAACTTGGCTATGACATTCATGTAAGTTTTCTTCTTGGGATCTCTTTCAGGTGGTGAACAGTAGATTTTTCTCTATTTCTACTTTACTTTCTTGTTCTAGAACTTCAGGGCAATTTTCCTCAATCATTTCTTGTAATATTATATCCAGATTCTTTTTTTTATCATAACTTTCAGGTAGTCCAACAATTGTCTCTCCTCAATCTGTTCTCCAGATCAATTGTTTTTCTAATGAGATGTTTCACATTCTCTTCTAGTTTTTCTAGTTTTATTATTTCTTGGTGTCTTATAATGTCATTCAATTCCTCTTGCCCAATTCTAGTTTTCAAGGAGTTATTTTCTTCCTTTAAGATTTTAGACCTCTTTTTTTCCAATTGGTTAACTTTTTTTTCATAATTTTCTTGGATTGCTTTTATTTTTTTCCCTAATTTTTCCTCAATCTCTCTTATTTGATTTTTGAATTCCTTTTTAAGTTCTTCCAAGAACTCTTTTTAGACTTGTGACCATTTGATGTTATTCTTTGGGGTAGGAGTGACTTTTTTTTTTTAACCTCATTATCTTCCTCTGAATATGAACCCATATCTTCTTTTACACCATAGTAGCTATCTATGGTTAGGTTCTTTTTTTTCCCTACTTATTTTTACTTTTATTTTATTATATTTTTTAGCAGTTTATTATTATAATCAGGTTTTAATCCCAAATTGTAAGTAATGTTGTCCCAGGCCTCAGGTCCTCAGTATTGTTATTTTCTGAATTCTGTCCAGGGGCTCAACCTCAGAGACTCCTCTCCTTCTCTAAGCCACAGTTAGGGCCCCCAGCCATGCTGTTTCAAAAATATTCCTGTTCCCTGCTGTAGTGCACTCACCTGGTGTGTGCTCGCTCCACTTCACCCACAGCTGCAACCTGGGGTCGCATCTGGTCAGTAGAGCTAGGCCTGGTGTCCAGAAACAGGGGAGGTCCTTCAGTCTTCCCCCAGTTAGCATTAGATGAAAGTTTTGAGCTAAAAGTTTCTTAGGTGAAATTTCTTGAGATCTTATCTGCTTCTAGAAAGAGCTGAGGGTCTGCTGTTTGTTGATTCAGTGGAGTTGGCCTGAACTCCTCTACTCAGGTCAAAGCTCAGCAGCTTAGCCCCGGGTGTCCTTTAGGAGGCCTTTTCAAGTTGTCTTACAAAGACCACTGCTTTACCCCTTTATTTTTGCTGCTCCACTTCATTTTCTGGCAATGTTCTGTCTGTTTGTGGAGGAAATTTGGAGAGCCTGGAAATTTCTGACCTGCTCTGCTATCTTCCCAGATGCACTACTCCCCCTTATTTTACAGATGAAGATACCAAGACCCCGAGATGTTAAGTGACCGGGCCTTCCAACTCCAAATCCGGCACGTTTCCCCCTATACCACTAAAATCTGTAATTCCACCTTTAAAATTTCTACCTTCCACCTTCCACTTTCTAAGATTGGCAAACCTTAAAGAGCTATGTAAATGCTAGCTATTGTTGTTTCTGTTACTGTCTCCCATTGTACCCTTCATTATTGTCGTCTCCTTTTGCCTCATCTGTGCCATAGTTAGGCAGGGAACAGGAGAGACAGGAGGTAGGGCACCCTGATTGCTGACATAGCTGTGCCTGCCCAAACAGGCCTCTTTTACTATAGCTGGGCTCTGAAAGTGAGTTTTCAGAAGGCAGTAGTGTTCATGGAAATCCTCCAAACAGTTTTGGACTGATGAATCCTGGGATATCTGGAGGACTATTTAATAATGGGTGATTAAAGGTCAAAATGGGCGTATTAAACATACCTAATTGTTATGTGACATGTTATCAGTACCTTTTCTCATACAAGATACCTAATGGTTGGATCTTGAGCTAGACGAGTTAATGACTTCTGATGACACAATCACCCCCATGATTTGAACCTTCCACGGTAGAAGAGGAAATCGTCCTCAAAATAATGTTAAAAACATACCCATCAACAAACCAACCCATCATTCATGGACTTACTGGTTTTTTCTGAAGTCATGTGAGGAATGCCAAAAGGAACTACCACAGACATCCTTTGCACCTCCATGATGGTGGCTTCTGTGTAGGGCATGTGGACCTTGTCAGTGAGGGATGGAGCTCTGTCAGGACCAATGACCTTTTCAATTTCTTTGTGGACTTTTTCTGTACAAAAAAGGAAAGGAAAGATGAGAAGAGATGGAGGTGACTCAAGATGGAGAACAGTCCCATTCAATTTTATATGAAGCTAAGCAGGAAGGAAAGAAGGAAATGAGTATCTATTCAATGCCAGGTATGTGCTGGTACTATGTGCCAGGTACTATGCTAAACTCTTTGCAAATATTATCTTGTTGGATCCTCACAACAACCCTGGGAGGTAAGTGCTATTTTCATCCCAATTTTACAGTTGAGAAAAACTGAGGCAGATAGAGGCTAAGTGACTGGCTTAGGATCACACAGCTACTAAGTATTTGAGGCCAGATTTGAACTCAGGTATTCCTGACTCTAGGGTCAATTTTCTATTCTTGCTACGTAGCTGCAGAGCCCTTATCCAAACTTCAACAAACATTTATTAAGTGCCTTTTATGTACAGAGCTCTCCAATGAAATCCCTACTCTAATGCCTCATGGTGTCATGAAGATGGTTCTGGGCTGTCAAAAGCAATGCCAACAGTATAAGTCCTGGCAGATGCTGCCACACTGAAAAGACTGAATACTATCCCAGTGATGGACTGATGGAACAAACTAAATTTAGGGAGGCTCAACACCACATTGGCTACGGGATTAAAGTTTTTAGCCACAGAAACCCTTGACGGTCGTCTCCTAAGCTGTAGAAGGGCTGAGATCTGCATGGGGGAGGGGATACTTTGCAAAAATTCTTGAAGTATGTGCCAAGGTACACACTTTATGATTTTGTCAAAAATTTGGATAAAAGTATAAATGGCCTGCTGATCCAATTTGCACAGGATACAAAGCTGAATAGGAGAAAGAACACATTGGGTAAAAGTCAGGATTCAAAATTATCTTGTTAGGCTAGAACATTGAGCCAAATCTAATGTAATGAATTTTATTAGAAATTTATAAATGAGGGGCAGGTAGGTGGGGCAGTGGATAGAGCACTGGCCCTGGAGTCAGAAGGACCTGAGTTCAAATCTGGTCTCAGACCAGACACTTGACACTAGCTGTGTGACCCTGGGCAAGTCACTTAACCCCAATTGCCTCGCAAAAAAAAGAAAAAAAAACAGAATTGATCATTGAAGAAAGACTGATAAGAAATTTATAAATGTAAAGTCATACTTGGGCTCAATAGTGAGGTGACTGGCACATAGTAGGTGCCTTTACATTTCCCTACTTTTTTTTTCTGTTTTTGTTCTTTGATTCATTGCTCCTATATGAAGAACACAGATAACACAAGCAGCCATTAATTACCTTGTACCTCAGGGTTCAATGACATGTACAGAAGGCACCATAGTAAAGAGTTGGTTGTAGTATCAGTGCCCGCAATGAAGAGATCTCCAATGATATAAAATAAGTAGTCCTCATTGAAGCTACTGTTGCTATCATTCTTCATCTCCTCTTCCATATGGAGAAGGTACATATCTATGAAGTCCTGGGGATTTTCCATATCCAAGGTCTCCCGATGTTCTCTGATGATTCCTTTTAGGAAAACAGTTAAATCTTTTTCAATCTGTCTTAATTCCTTGAAGAGCCCAAAGGGGAGGTAATACAGCCAAGAGCATATGTTAATTAAAAGAATCTGGTTGTTGATGCTGATCTCGAGCCCTCTCGACATGAGGTTAAGCATCTTCTTAAAGTCACTGTTGTTATATTCAAAGCGCTGGCCAAAGCACATGGAACAGATGATGTTGGAGATGGCGTTGCTAATAACGGGGAAAGGACTGAAGGGGTTTCCTCCATGTTTCTGCATTTCCTCCTTCACATACTTAAACTCCTCGATGATCTTGGGTTCTAGGCTGAGCTTCCCCAGACCGAAATGGCGAAGGGTTGAGTGGGAGAACTTTCTTTGTTGTCTCCAGATTGGACCATAATGTGCAAACACAATGCCTGGGAAAGGAAGCAAAGAAAGAGGAGTACAATTACACGGGGCATGGCTGAACCTGATGTCCTTTGGTAGGAGGCAGGGTGAGCCAGGGGAAAACATGTTACCTCTGGTGTCAGAACTTTGAACACAGGTTCAGATTCTGTTTCTGATGCTTATTATCTCTGTGAGCTGGGACAAGCCCCTCAACCTCCCTGGGCATCAGTTTTCTCATCTGTAAAAGGAGGGGCTCCTGAACTCCTTTCCAAGTTTACCATACTATTTCTACCTCATCATTTTCTTTGTTGGAAGTTCTCGCACCTCCATAGAGCACTGAATTGTATTAAGGCCTGGGAAAGGAGGTCTAAGAGTAGAAGGCACAGCCTCTGCGCTCAGGGAATTTCTAATCTCATATACATGTAGGACTTGGCCCTCTTAGCTATGATTTAATGGCTAATTTTACCTAGTTTAGAAATGTTTTGAGACTACACACACCCATTGGATTGATTTAACCCCTTATAGCTTGGAGTAATTAGAAAGAGAGCTGGACATGGGAGTCGGGAGAGTAGGGTTTGAATCCCAGCTTTGTGACTAAGGACAAGTGATTTCAACTTTCTGAGCCTCAGGTCCCTCATCTGTATAGTGCAGGTAATATTTGCCTTGCCATCCTCACAGGATTGCTGTGAGAAAAGGATTTTAGACAGAGCTGGATAAATGTGATTTATCTTCCAGGGTCTTAGTGACATCTGGGATATAATTCCAATTTTTTTAGGTCAACATCAGATTGGACTACCAAGCTTTCCCACCAAAAGCAGACTGTTGGACTCATTAGTCAGCTGGTCTGACCTAGCATGGCGGCTCTTCTATCCCCAGGTTGTAGTTACTCAGTACCAAGCCTTTCAGTTATGTTTTCATCACCATATCAGTTTTTGTACTTGGCCTGATGCTCGGGATACAATGCTAGGGGCTTATGGTGTTCCCTCACTCCGTTTTTCCTCCTTCTGACACTTTCCTGCAGTACCAAGGTTTGCATTTGGCTACTTGTCATACCCCGGCTGTTCTGTTTAGTTCATAAATTCAATTCTTTTCCAGCTCTAAATTCTTTGACTCAGTACAATTCTTTCCACTGGATTCAAATCTTGGCTCTGCTACTTATGAACCCTGTGACCTTAGACAAGTCATTTAACATCGAAAATGATGAGGGTTAGAGCAGATGACCTCTTAGGTCCCTTCAAGCTCAAATCTAAGACCTCTTTTCATCTTGCACACCTTGAGACAGCTAGAAGCAGAACCAGGAGAACGTTGTACACAGTAACAGCCACATTGTGCAATGACTAATATTGATAGACTTAACCCTTCTCAGCAATACAAGGATCCAAAGGTCTCATGATGAAAAATGCTATCCACATCCAAAGAAAGAGCTATGGAGTTTGAATGCAGATCAAAGCATACTATTTGTAATTTTTTTCTTCTGTTTTGTTTTGTTTCCTCTTTCTGGTGGTTCCTCCTATTGGTTCTAATTCTGCCCTACATCACTGATGTTAAAATATGTTTAATAGGAATATATATCTATAACCTATATCAGATTGCACACCATCTTGGGGAGGGAGGTGGGGAAGGAGTGGTTAAAACTCAAAAGTTTATGGAAGTGATTGTTGATAATTCAAAATAAATTAATTAAAGGGGGCAGCTAGGTGGCCCAGTGGATAGAGCACTGGCCCTGGAGTCAGGAGGACCTGAGTTCAAAACTGGTCTCAGATACTTAACACTTACTAGCTGTGTGACCTTGGGCAAGTCACTTAGCCCCGATCACCTCACCAAAAAAGAAAAAAAATAAATTAATTAAAAATTAAAAATATATATTTAAGGCTAGCTAGAGGGACAGGAATCCTCACTTTCAGCTGTGGCCATTATGTGAACTCTGAACCAGAGGTAATCTTAGGGTGTCTAGTATGATATAGAAAGTATTTGCAAAGATGGATACTTATCAAACAATGTTACATGGATGTATTAATGAGTAAATTATAGTCATGATGACTCATTTTTATTCTCACCTGACTTGTGTTTAGTGAAACCAGTTCAGTTAAATTTCTGAGGTTAGAACTGGAGTCAGAGAACAAATCCAAAGGATCTCAGCCTTAGCTCCCATACAACACCTTACTTCAATGCATCAAGGAGCTGGGATTTCATTGAGGTGGATTATCTGTCTACTGATGTAGACCAAATCCTCTCCATGCTTGTAGATGGTTGAATGAGTTATTATGGCAAAAAATAAAGAAACTTTTAAAATTAAAAAAAAAAGACAGCTAGAGGGAGTGCCTTTATTCTTACTTATCTTGTGTCTCAATGTTTTTATTCTCATCTCTACAAACTTACCATGTTGATCCTTTAGTTACTGATATTTCTGCTCCAATTTCTTTACCCATGGTTTTATTTTTTTCCATCCTTGTTATTGACCTTTAAAACATGTCTCTTTACTTTCTGAACTCTTGAAAGGAGAAACAATGCTTCTTCTCTCCCCCTTGACATTTGCGATTTTAATTTCATAGGAAACCAGAATGTTGTTATACTTCCAAAGAGGTCAGGGGAAAAGGGAGTTTAAATCCTGCAGCAGACTCCAGCTACGTATGATCCTACTCATCTAAACCTCAGTTTCCTCATCTATATAAGAAAGGGGCTTTTAAGGTCCCTTCCACTCTATGTCTTATGCTTAACAGAGGAGCGAACTGAAGCCCTAAGAAGTGATATCTTTCTCTTCTAAATTGAATTCATTAATCCTTTATCTTCCAGCTTTGATAAATCAATTTCAGCCATTCCCACTGCACCGTATATGTCATGCCCTTTCTTCTTTCTTCCACAATATATGTATATGTTCACAAATAGGATCCTTTTACAGTATAGTTCCCAACCTAATCATATAACTTTCAACCTAGATCTCATAGATAAGACATGTCATTTATATGTAATGATAGATATAATAGCCAATTAACTTGCATAAGCAGCTTACACCAGCACATCTTCAGATTGGACTCACATCAGACACCTCCCCCCTTCATGTGTATTTTGAGTCTCTATGGTAAGTGTTAAGCCAAAGTCCTACTTGGTAGATTCTCTTTTTCCTACTTGCCTGTGTGAAGAGCTCCATCCTCACTCAGGCCCTTGGCAAACCCATTTTCTTCTCTATATTTCAGTTTTCTTTCTTGTCCTCAAAATCAGATCCAGCTTTTCTTCTTCAGTGCTCTGCATTTTTTCTGCTGTTCGTGGCCCAATATTTATGTGATTACATCGAACATTTCAGGGTTTCTTTACAAAGCCTTTTTTTCTGGTTTGGTTACTTTCATAAGTTCAACATTCATGCTAGCTAAGGAGTCCCAGCTAGGTGGTATAGTGAATAGAGTGCTGATCTGGGAGTCAGAACGACCTCAAAGTATCTGAGTGCAAATTCTCCCTCAGATATTTAGCTGTGTGACCTTGAACTAATCACTTAACCTCAGTTTCCCATTCAGTAAAATTTGGATAAGAGTAGCATCGACCTTGCAGGGTTGCTGGGAGATAACCCATGTAAATAATCAAATCTAGATACTAATCAAGTGAGATAATGCATGTCAAGTACTTTGCAAACCTGAAAGTGCTCTATAATGTTAGCTATTATTCTTCAGGAATTTAACTTCCTTTGATATGAACTAGGCTTGTCATTTTCATTTTTTTTTCTGCTCCTTCCTTCTCCTCAAACAAGTAAATGCCCTTCTGAGAGTTCCTCCACTCTGTCCCTTTCTTTTATGTGGACTTTAGATAAAACTCTTTCAAAATAGTCTGTCTCCTTTCCTTGGCTTTCTTATCACAATATTTTTTTTCTCCCTATCTGACTATCTAAATAAGAGGCAACATGGTACAGCAGAGGGCAAAGATCAAAGGTCTGAGATTCAGGGCGGATTTGAATCGAATTACGTTATGATCACAGGTAGTCAAACCTTCTCAGTGTCCTTATCTATAAAATGAAGATTATGTCGTGGATAGAGCACCAGCCTTGAAGTCAGGAGGACCTGAGTTTCAAATCCGGCCTCAGACCAAATACTTGACACTTACTAGCTGTGTGACCCTGGGCAAGTCACTTAACTGTGATTACCTAAAAAAAAAAATCTAAAATGGAGATTACTTCTGTATCTTTCAAGGTGCTTATAAGGACCAAATGAGCTAACACACCTTAGAGTATTGTATAAAAACCAATTATCTGTGTTTCTTCCATCTCCCTCCCACTCCCTACCCCACCTCTCCTCCCAGTTTCTTCCTTCTCCCATACCTCTTCTTACTGCCTTCTCTTAAGACAGGGCCCTGCCTTCACTTGGGCAGATGTGGCTTTTTCCTCTTCATTCTGGAGCCTAACAGCTAACTCAACTCTGGGTATGCCCTCAGCTTGCCTGTGTAGTCAGTTTTTCATTACACAAGTCCCATATTATTCCCGGTCTACAGGAAGCATTCCTATGTCCTCCTCTTCCACAATTAAATCTGTCTTCTAACCATGCATGTAACAAATAATTTCATGACCTATATGCTGATAGCCTAAGTCTGGCCTTTTCCATATTTCCGCACCTAAATAGTGCAGACATTTACTGAACTCATTTCTGCAAGGCCTAGTGTTAGGTCACATGGAATGAAAAGATAAATTCTCAGTCAAGGAGTTTACAAGCTGGTACAAGGAATGCCAAGTACATAAGTAACTATAATACAAAGCAGAATGTATTGTATCAAAAGAGCCCAGAGCCCAAGGGCCCCATATTCCTATTTCCATTGGAGGAATTTTGACAACTTTCTGGGGACTTCTTGCTTCTCAAAGCTGATGAGTCAATTCAAGATGCTATAAAAAAGAGGTGGTTATTTTCTTGTCCTGTTTTCTATCCCTTAGTGACTCAAGTTTAAATGTGAGGCTGAGGAAGCTGACATGTGGAGCATGATACTGGATACTGGTCTCTCTCTCTGGGGGACTGTAAGAGAAGGGCCCTGGTTCTATCCCTTTCCCACTCTTGAG